GGTTTGGAACAAAGGTTCACTAGAGGATCTGTGTAGTGCGGCGGGTGGAGGGGCCACAAACACAGGAGTAATTGGCGGTGGAGGGCATGGGATTTGTTTTGGTGGTGGAGGTGGTGGTGTTTGGGAAGTGGTTGCGTAGTATTGCTGGTAAGTGGGGAATGCCGGGGATGAATTCACTGTGGGAGGATCTTGTGGTTGAGCTAGTGGCGGGATGTAGGCAGGGTTAGCAGGATAGGCTGGTAATGGGTGTCCCTTCGACCAGGCCTGGTAGATCTCGGCCATCTGTTGCTTCAACTTATACACCTCCTCTTTCATAGCATTAACATCTACTACCTCTTCTTCCCTAGACGGATCAACAATGCTTGCTTCTAGCTCTGAATTGACCATTTATGATGTATCCTTGGAGCGGGTGTTGTATAGATGGGTAGCCAGAATGCCAGTCAACTTAACCACCTGCCTGGACTCATCATCAACAACAATTATTTTGTTAGCCGTTAGAGCATTAACAAATAGATCCGCACATTTTGGAATGAATGCACCTAAACAGTTAACGGTTTCTATTATGCATTTGCTCGACTGCTTGCGTCATACCGGCTTTCCTTATTTTCGACTGCGACTTTTCCTTTTATTCCTGCGCCTTTGTTTCCCTTTTTGTTTCTTTTGTTGTGGTTTTCTCTTTTTTTTTCTTTTTCTTCTTTGGCTTTCTTTCTTTTCATCTTTGGTTCTTCTTTTGTTTTCACTTTTCTTTATTTAGTTAAGATCGGATCCTATGGAGATTGCCTACGTATCACGAATCAGACCAAGTGTAGTAAATGCAAAATAGAAGCAAAAAAGTTTTGTTGGAATTTTCAATTTGACTGATAGCAAACACTTTGATTACAAGGACTCAAGACTGACGCATTAAGACAACTAACAGACTCCAACTGACAAGAAGAACTACAAACTCTACCAACAACTATTCTACTTCAAAATGGAAATGTAGACTGACTCGGAAAGGAAATACAGACTCATACGACTAACAAACTCTAGTAAAAGGAAAATACAGACTCAAATGACAATCATGAATACATTAAAGCTCCTGGTGCCCGCGGGACATCGTTCGATCTCGCCGCGGGCCAATATGCAAGTTCCCCTTGAAGTCTGTCCAGGTCACTCATTATCTGCTTTACAAATATCATCATCGAGGCAAAGAAGGTAGTATGAGTCATGCTCTCGCACATTTGGCATTTCCTGGTAATGTTGTGAGCAATGGTTAGGATTCTCTCTCTGATTATGCCTTTTTCCTGAAGAAACCGCCCTATCTGTTAGGCCCTGGCCTCCAAAGTCTGCTGATTTTGTTCCTGGAGTTGTTGCAAGTCCATTTCTAATTGCGCCAATGCTGTGTAGCAATGCTCTCTTTCAACCTTGAATTCTTTTGCCTGTTTGATCATTTTGGTTTCTGCGGCAATGACCTTGTTCTTCAATACCGTGACCTCATTATCGTATTCTTTTCTCAACTGCTTAACCATGCGGGCTCGTTCTTGTGCGTTTTTAGCCAATTGTTTTCGGGCCTCGGCCAATTCCCTCTCTGCTTTGTTGAGGTCGAAACTGTAGTCATTTACTTTTCGCTTTAGGTTCTCTATGAGCTTGGCATCCTTGGCACTCCTAACAGGATTTTCAACCGCTATCTTCATCTTTTGGATTTGGGCTCGTAAGGCTTCATTCTCTTGGGCCAACTTCTTTTTCTCACCCTTGTCAGCTGCGGCTTGCNACCCAGAAGATCCGAGTCACCCCATGACCAAGATTTCCTGGACACCCATGTCTATAGCCAATCTCAAACCCAAGATACACGCCTCGTATTGGGCCATGTTATTGGTGCAATAGAAACGAAGTTGAGCCGTAACAGGGTAGTGTTGCCCTGTCTCAGAAATCAGTACTGCTCCTATCCCGACGCCTTTAGTGTTGGCAGCTCCATCAAAGAACAGTTTCCATCCTGGCTTCTGGCTCTGCTGTAATTCATCAACATGCATTACCTCTTCATCAGGGAAGTATGTCTTCAAAGGTTCATATTCTTCATCGACTGGATTCTTGACCAAATGATCAGCCAAGGCTTGTGCTTTCATTGCAGACCGGGTCACATAGACAATATCAAATTCCGTAAGCAAGATTTGCCACTTCGCCAGCCTCCCTTTGGACATGGGCTTCTGAAAAAATGTACTTCAATGGGTCCAACCGAGAGATAAGGTAGGTGGTATATTACGACAAGTAGTGTTTCAATTTCTGTGCTACCCAGGTTAAGGCACAACACGTCCTCTCAAGTTGAGTGTACTTCACCTCATAAGATGTGAACTTCTTGCTGAGGTAGTAAATCGCTTGTTCTTTCTTTCCTGTGATGTCATGTTGCCCCACTACACAGCCAAAAGAGTTATCCAAGACCGTTAGGTAAAGGATCAAGGGTCTTCCTGGCTCTGGCGGGACTAACACAGGTGGACTGGCCAAATATTCCTTAATCTTGTCGAATGCTGCCTGACATTCATCCGTCCATCTGACCGCAACATCCTTCTTTAGCAGCTTAAAGATTGGCTCACAAGTCGTTGTGAGCTGGGCAATGAACCTGCTGATATAGTTTAACCTCCCAAGCAAACTCATCACTTCTTTTTTGTTCTTTGGCGGTGGTAGCTCTTGAATGGCCTTGATCTTGGACGGGTCTAACTCAATACCGCGTCGGCTCACCACAAACCCCAACAGCTTCCCAGACGGGACTCCAAATGCGCACTTCGCTGGATTAAGCTTGAGATTGTACCTGCGAAGTCTCTGAAAAAACTTCCTCAGGTCCTTAACATGGTCACATTGCTTCCTTGATTTGATGATCACGTCGTCTACATAGACTTCAATTTCCCGATGTATCATGTCATGGAACATGGTAGTCATCGCCCTCATATATGTTGCTCCTGCGTTCTTCAACCCAAATGGCATGACCCTATAACAATACGTCCCCAAGGTGTGATGAAGGTCGTCTTCTCCGCGTCTTCCTCATCCATCAAAATCTGGTGATAGCCCGCGTAACAATCCACGAAGGAACCAATCTCATGCTTGGCACAATTGTCAATCAATATATGGATGTTTGGTAGTAGGAAGTTGTCTTTTGGACTCGCCTTATTGAGATCACGGTAATCAACGCACACTCTGGTTTTTCCATCTTTCTTTGGCACATGCACAACATTAGCTAACCAGGTGGGATACCGTGTGACCCGGATGGTTTTTGCATTAAACTGCTTGGTAACCTCTTCTATGATTTTCACACTGATGTCTGTTTTAAATTTCCTCAACTTCTGCTTGACAAGAGGGCATGCTGGGTCGGTGGGCAACTTGTGGACCACCAAGTCAGTACTCAAACCCGGCATATCATCATATGACCATGCAAAAACATCTTTGTACTCAAACATTATCTCTTCCCTGAGCTGAGGCTCCAAATGGACACTTATTTTCGTTTCCTATACATTGTCAGAATCCCATAAATTGATTGCCTCCGTGTCATTCAGATTGGGTTTGGGTTTTTCTTCAAATTGGCTTAATTCCTTACTGATTTCTTCAAAGGCTTCCTCATCATCATATTCTACCTCGTCATCACACTCAATCTCTTGTATTATTACTTCGGAGTTAAATTGGCGTTCAAGACTAGGCCGAAGACTCCTCATGCATGACACATCAGTGAAACCAGCATAAAAGAGACTGTATAAAAAGGAAAAGAAAGACAAAATAAGGGCTATCAGGAATGAAAAGGGAAAGAAATTGCATTTCATTAGAATTTAAGATAACAAGGTTTAACTCATCCAAACGGACGGAAACATAGCATCCGAATTACAACCTTGGAAATAACCCAGATTAAATTGAAAGGAAAATCAAAACTAACTACCAAGACTCCCTCCGGATAGGAAGAGGAGTAGCTTCCCAATTATTAAGCTTCGCATAGGGCCCCACGGACTGTACGTTTGCCTTGCTTGGACCTTCTCCTGCCTCCAACACATTCACCTTGTTGAACAGCTTCTCAAACCTTTCAATCAGCTTCTTATCGGGTTCAACCACAGCATTAGGCATCATCGTCGCTAGGCGCTTCTTAGTACCAGGCCTGATGAAGGAACGGGAAAGGCGGGGGATGGGTTTTGGAAGGGTCCATGCTCTTTTTTCATCTTTTTAGCTCGCCTTACGTCTGCAGCAGTGGGCTTGAAGCCTAGACCAAAAGTATCCAAATTTCCAGGCAGAGATACCGGCTGTGTAATGCCTTGCAAAGAAGCACCCAAACCCTTTCCGGGTACAAATCCGTTCTTTATCATTTCTGAAGCCACCATGACAGATGCAGCAACTACCTTTGGCACGGGAATACGCTCTCCCTCCGGGATCTTTTCAACGGATACCGTGTCCAACACCTGATACACCCATGGACCTTTGTCATCCTCAACTTCTGTGAAAGGCATAATGGCATTACACGAACTGTCCTCCCCATGCACCACAATTTCTTGCTGGTCCCACTCGAATTTGACCATCTGGTGCAAAGTGGATGGCACCGCTTTTGCTGCATGGATCCACAGTCGGCCTAACAGGAGATTATAAGAAACAGCCACGTCGAGCACCTGGAACTCCATAGTAAATTCCACCGGTCCTATTGTCAACTCCAACACTATATCTCCAACTGTATCCTTTCCTCATCAATCAAATCCCCACACACAGATGCTATTCTTATGGATTCTCTCACTTTCCACCTTAAACTTTTCCAGAGTGGAGAGAGGACAGATGTTTGCACTGGACCCGTTGTCAATTAGCACCCGGGTGACCACAGAGTCTTCACATTTCACCGAGAGGTAGAGTGCTTTATAATGCTCGGTGCCTTCCAAAGGCAACTCATCGTCAGAAAATGTGACCCTGTTGACCTCGAAAATCTTATTCGCTATTTTCTCCAGATGATTCACATAAATCTTTTCAGGAACATGGGCTTCATTCAGAATTTTCATCAATGCTTGGCGATGCTCATCCGAGTGGATCAATAATGACAACAATGAAATCTGTGCCGCCGTCTTTCTCAACTGTTCTATAATGGAATAATCCTGTGCCTTCATCTTCTTTAGAAATTTCTCCGCTTCTTCTTCAGTTACAACCCTTTTCACTGGTACTGGATTATCTTTGGCTGTCTTAGCTTTTCTCAACTCTTCAGAGGCAAAACATCTTCCTGAATGAGTCAATCCATGTGTTTCACAGACTTCTTCTTTAACTTCTCTCCCCTTATACAGCACTGTTACTCGGTCGTAATTCCATGGGACGGTCTTTTCATTGATTACTGGCAACTGCGTCACCGGCTTGATGATAACCGGCTTTATGTGAGCCCCTTTCACAGTCACAATGGGTTTGATAGCTACCCCTGGCACCACTTTAGCTGCAACACCGCTCAAAGGCTCCTTCTTTATCGCCACAACTGGCTTGCTAACTGTCTCCTCCACTTTGGTCACTGCCCTCCCACTAGTTGGTTTCTCATCTGATCTGTTTTCACTGGCCCTGATCATCATTACGGTTTGTGAAGGCTTCTTATGCTCTTCTTTTTGCACTAACTCAATTATATGGGCCTTATGGTGGGTTGGCAATGGATTATGAGTGATGTTGGGCGTCTCTGGGGCCTGCACTTCAATATGGCAGGTATCAATAAGCTCCTGGATGGCCGTTTTCAAATGCCAGCATTTTTCTGTATCATGTCCCGGAGCACCCGAGCAGTACTCACAACTCACCGAATGGTCCAGGTTCCTTGGGGGAGGATTTGGCAATTTAGGTTCAATTGGAGTCAACATGCCCAGCTGTCTCAATCTATGGTACAAGCTGGTGTAAGATTCGCCCAACGAAGTGAAAGACTTCTTTTTCTGCAACCTATCATTCTTAGCTGCGGGGTTGGGTCGAAAACCGGTTCCAGTGGGGTTTCTGTAGGCTCTCGGGGGTGGGTAGGCGCTTTGAGTATGGTAAGCGCTTTATGGTGTAGGTGCGCGCCATTGGGGAGGAGGTTGGGGGTATGTTTGGGCATGGTGCACAGAGAGGTGTGGGACAGGAGGTGGGTAGTAATGTTTTGGAGGGCCATATGGGGTGTGTGGGTAGGTTTGGGGATGGGGTCGAGGTTGATGGTAATATGGAGATGGTCCCTGGACCATGTTCTCGATTCCATTACTGCAACGTCTTCTTTCTTTTTCTTCCCCAATACTCCTCTAGTGCCACTTTGGATGGCCTGGGTAGTCGCCTTGATAGCCGAATAACTCATAATTTTATTAGACTTAAGCCCCTCTTTGACCATGCTGCCCATTTTCACAACCTCATTGAAAGACTTGCCCACTGCCGACACCAGATGACCATAGTAGGTAGGCTCAAGCCTGTAGGAAATAATCGACCATCTCGCTCTCCCTCATTGGAGGATCGACTCTTGCTGCTTGTTCTCTCCACCGGAAACCGTACTCCCGAAAACTTTCCCCTGGCTTCTTCTCAATTTTAGTCAGCGATAGACGGTCCGGGACGATTTCTAGATTATACTAAAAGTGGCACGCAAACGCTTGAGCCAAATCATCCCAAGTGTACCATCGAGCCTGATCTTGCCGCATATACTATTCCAGGGCAGCTCCGCTAAGACTTTGGCTAAAGTACGCCATCAATAACTCATCCCTTCCTCGAGCTCCTCTCATCTTACTACAAAATCCCCTCAGATGGGCTACAGGATCACCATGTCCATCATACAAATCAAACTTTGGTAATTTGAATCCGGCCGGCAGCTGGACATCGGGAAACAAGCACAGATCCTTGTAAGCTACGCTCACTGGACCTCCGAGCCCTTGCATGTTTCTGAATGACTGTTTTAGGCTCTTGACCTTTCTTATCATTTCCTCCTGCTCCGGGTTTTTGGGAGGCTTTTCTTCTTCAGATGAGATATCAATGCGGGGAGCATAAGAGCATGGTTCTGGTGGTTTGAAGGTGGGTTCATGTGGGTAATAGTGATTTTCCTGAGTTTGGAATAGGGGTTCGCTGGAGGATCTGTGTAATATGGCGGGTGGAGGGGCCACAAACACAGGAGTAATTGGCGGTGGAGGGCATGGGATTTGTTTTGGTGGTGGAGGTGGTGGTGTTTGGGAAGTGGTTGCGTAGTATTGCTGGTAAGTGGGGAATGCCGGGGATGAATTCACTGTGGGAGGATCTTGTGGTTGAGCTAGTGGCGGGATGTAGGCAGGGTTAGCAGGATAGGCTGGTAATGGGTGTCCCTTCGACCAGGCCTGGTAGATCTCGGCCATCTGTTGCTTCAACTTATACACCTCCTCTTTCATAGCATTAACATCTACTACCTCTTCTTCCCTAGACGGATCAACAATGCTTGCTTCTAGCTCTGAATTGACCATTTATGATGTATCCTTGGAGCGGGTGTTGTATAGATGGGTAGCCAGAATGCCAGTCAACTTAACCACCTGCCTGGACTCATCATCAACAACAATTATTTTGTTAGCCGTTAGAGCATTAACAAATAGATCCGCACATTTTGGAATGAATGCACCTAAACAGTTAACGGTTTCTATTATGCATTTGCTCGACTGCTTGCGTCATACCGGCTTTCCTTATTTTCGACTGCGACTTTTCCTTTTATTCCTGCGCCTTTGTTTCCCTTTTTGTTTCTTTTGTTGTGGTTTTCTCTTTTTTTTTCTTTTTCTTCTTTGGCTTTCTTTCTTTTCATCTTTGGTTCTTCTTTTGTTTTCACTTTTCTTTATTTAGTTAAGATCGGATCCTATGGAGATTGCCTACGTATCACGAATCAGACCAAGTGTAGTAAATGCAAAATAGAAGCAAAAAGTTTTGTTGGAATTTTCAATTTGACTGATAGCAAACACTTTGATTACAAGGACTCAAGACTGACGCATTAAGACAACTAACAGACTCCAACTGACAAGAAGAACTACAAACTCTACCAACAACTATTCTACTTCAAAATGGAAATGTAGACTGACTCGGAAAGGAAATACAGACTCATACGACTAACAAACTCTAGTAAAAGGAAAATACAGACTCAAATGACAATCATGAATACATTAAAGCTCCTGGTGCCCGCGGGACATCGTTCGATCTCGCCGCGGGCCAATATGCAAGTTCCCCTTGAAGTCTGTCCAGGTCACTCATTATCTGCTTTACAAATATCATCATCGAGGCAAAGAAGGTAGTATGAGTCATGCTCTCGCACATTTGGCATTTCCTGGTAATGTTGTGAGCAATGGTTAGGATTCTCTCTCTGATTATGCCTTTTTCCTGAAGAAACCGCCCTATCTGTTAGGCCCTGGCCTCCAAAGTCTGCTGATTTTGTTCCTGGAGTTGTTGCAAGTCCATTTATAATTGCGCCAATGCTGTGTAGCAATGCTCTCTTTCAACCTTGAATTCTTTTGCCTGTTTGATCATTTTGGTTTCTGCGGCAATGACCTTGTTCTTCAATACCGTGACCTCATTATCGTATTCTTTTCTCAACTGCTTAACCATGCGGGCTCGTTCTTGTGCGTTTTTAGCCAATTGTTTTCGGGCCTCGGCCAATTCCCTCTCTGCTTTGTTGAGGTCGAAACTGTAGTCATTTACTTTTCGCTTTAGGTTCTCTATGAGCTTGGCATCCTTGGCACTCCTAACAGGATTTTCAACCGCTATCTTCATCTTTTGGATTTGGGCTCGTAAGGCTTCATTCTCTTGGGCCAACTTCTTTTTCTCACCCTTGTCAGCTGCGGCTTGCATGCTGTTTTCAAACTTAAGGTCTCGGACCTGCTTTTCTAGTTCTCCTATTTTGGCTTTGTATTCATTTATTTGGCTAATCGGCCCCACTGTTCTTGCGATGATTCGGCAAACTCCTAGATGTGAGGTCTTTTAGCTGGCCTCTCATGCTCAAATTCTCTCCTATACCAAGCGAGATATCCGGGCGACACTTCGCCTTTGGCCCGATCTTGCACGCAAGTATCCGCTTTCAAATATTGACATTCGTTCCAGATCTGGCGGACTCTTGCTTCAGGAAACTGTCCGTCAGGGCTAATCTCAACTACTTGAGCGCTAAGATCACCGTCTCTTGGCACTATCTGGCACCTCCCGAGTTGTCTCAAAACCCGATACGGGGCGTAAGGCTGAATGCTTCTAAGACCCATCAGGAGGAAATATGGCCCTGCTGCTGGCATATATATGATCTCGTCAACGGGCAACAATCCAAATGTCCACTCTATTTGACTAGCAGTGAGGGATCGAAAGTATGTTGTCCAGCACGTGAATCCTTCAGGCAAATTGACCCCTTTGATCCTCGTATAAAACTCTTCTATACATGTTTTCTCTGGAGACCCATAGCTCAAGAACTGAGGACGATGGCACAGATGCTCGGTCATCCACATTTGCAACAGTAGATTGCACCCCTCGAAGAAGTCCCCCCCCCCCCCCGGCCTTGCAGGCCGTAAGAGCACGGTAGATGTCGGCTAATATCATAGGCGCAAGAGTACTGTTGGCCTGGGTGATTAGAGTACTGACGACCCCGGCTATTTTGATGCCAATGTTCCCGTCTTTCCTCGGGAAAACCAAAAGTCCCAGAAAAACCACCATAATAGCGAAACGTCTATGCTCCTCCCATTTTTGGCGGTTTCCTTTGCTACATATCTTGCTTTCCGGGTTGTTGAACCCTCCAATGTGGCCATATCTGTGATATATGAACTGCGGAGCACAAAAGCCATTTGCCAGGTCTATGTTACGAACCGTCCTGCTTATCTTCAAAAAGTCCAGAAATCTGTGCACGGCTACAGTTCTCGGAGTAACTAAATACTTATGCCTTAAAGGGACTTCATCTTTTCCGATGTAGCCGGCTATTTCCTCTAGCGTGGGGGTAAGCTCAAAGTCTGAAAAATGGAACACGTTGTGTGCCGGGTCCCAACATGTGACCAGTGCTCTGATAATATATCCTCGAGGCACAATCTCTAACAAACCGGTAAGCCCTTTCAAATATTTCTTGATTTCGACTTGCCCTTCTCCTCCTAAATCGTTCCACCACAAACGTAACTCCAAAGGGATTTTATGCATGATCGAGAAGGGTTCATTCTGAGTCGTGCTCATCCTGCACATTTATTAAGGTGATTTAATCACTTATTTTGACCTAGAGGAAAAATGACACTATTTTTTGCATTCAGATTTCTAGTTTCATCATAAAACTGGTTTTGCAGATACGACCTCCCAGCACTTCGGGAGAAGATTTTAAGGCTGTGCCTGCTAAACACCGAAAATGACACAAGGTGGCTTTTCTTGCAAAGACCGCCTTCCGGCGCCCTTTTAGGGACACTCGGTTATTTCTTACAAGAATGGCCATCACCTGACTTATTTATGATGAAAATTAAAATTTGGTATTTTTGGCTATTTTTGCAAAAGGGCGGTTGGACCCGATGAGGGTTGCCTACGTATCTCACATCCGGTGAGAATCAAACCAACGTAGTTCGGGCAAGTAAACTAACTATTTTTGAAAACAAAACCCTGTTCTTTGTTTTTTTGTATTTTTTTTTATTTCCAACAAACTACTCGAGAATAAAACTCTCTTTTTGTTTTCCTTTTTATTGGCAAAAGACAAGCCAAAATAAAACACTTTTCTATTCCTTTTATTTTTCTCAAAAATCCAGCAGAGTTTCGACACTATTTTGCATTGGTTATTGTTAACTCTCTACATTGCTATTTTTTCTCTCTTTTTCAATTTTCCCAAATACCCCAAAGCCGGTCAACATGCAAGTTCGAGACAAATAAATGCAACACGTAAGATGCATCAGGATGGCCTTTTTCATATCCGGTTACCTGTCCTAGACGGACCCAACCCCTGTGTTGAGTCCCCTAAGTCATATGCACATGATGCAAATAAGCTCTCCTACTAGGGATCCGGCATGAAGTCAAGTTATTCTAGGTTCAAATCCTGGGTATATGTTCTGGACTGTGTACCCGAGCGGACAACTCGAGTCGAGGAGGGGGGCTACGTACCGGGGACCCGCGAGATCGTCCGGCTTAGTAACTTGTCCGGCCTCTTTCTTATTTCAAGGTATGACACTAACAGAATAGGGAGTCTCAACCAGTAAGCACATCCCCAGAGGTGAGAAGAGAAGGGTTTCGGCACAGCTTATATACAATTCAAATAATATCAAAGCGGTAAAAAGCATTTAGCACATAAGGCATGAAACATGTAAGAAAATCAGATAAAGCCAAACACAACGATATATCTAAGCTCAAATTCTGAACCCTGAATCGAAGTTCTGGGTTCTTTTCCCAAGCAGAGTCGCCACAGCTGTCACACCTCCTTTTTCTACTACACCCCGTGAAGGGCGTAAAGGAGTTTTTCCAATTAAAGGACAATCAGAACGAGATTTATTATTAAGATTCAGAGTCGCCACTTAGGAGATTTATGGTGTCCCAAGTCACCGCTTTAGAATCCCGAACCGAGGAAATTATGACTCTGTTAACAGTCTGCGAACCAGAAATCCGAGTAAGGAATTGTGTTAACCCAGGAGAAAGTGTTAGGCATTCCCGGGTTCCGTGGTTCTAGCACGGTCGCTCAACTGTCATATTTGGCTTATTTATTTGATTTCAGTACATGTTTTGGCCTATGTGTTTTTAACTTTGAACCGCTTTTATTATTATTATTTTAAGAGAATTGCAACGTCGTGAAAACATGTCTCGAACCGCGTCACATAAATGCACCTGCGATTTTTGACACATTTCGACTTCGTTGAGATTTGAATTTGGGTCACATAAATGTGCACTCGTATTTAAGAAGGTAAAATTATTAAAAACGCGCCTAAAGCGACTAACGCGTTATTATCTTTGGGGAAGGCCGTGAAATTCACTAAACGGCCCATCCCGAATTCTAAGTATTCTAATACAATATTTATTGAGCGCCCCGCAATTTATGCATGTTTGTTTAGCGAGGCTCATCTCATTTATTATTTTAAAGGCAAACCTAAAGCAACTATGATTTTTCTATTTTTATTTGTCTCTAATAATAAAAAGTGTCCTAATGAATTTGTTACTGTATTAAAGCAAACCAGAAGGAAAATTGCATTCAGGCCTACATCAAAGAATGGCCGGTCACAAGCCTTGACCCAGGCCCAAACGTACACAGGCATTCGAACTGAACCTGGGCCACTCATTGTGGCACTGAAGCTTACGCTTCTGAAAATGGGCTGTTGAGCCCAAACTATTAAACTAGACCAAACTTCAATTCAATTTAAGCAAGTATTCACTGAAAGTGCTTCACATCACTCGAAGTGTGTTCAACCATTTATCACAAGGAAACCCATTATTCACCTATTCAAATTGAGGAAGCATTGATCATTCGAATTATAGTTTAAGACTCATATTATTTTATTTATTT